GTGGAGAGCAAATGTTTTAAGAATGATGAGGGCAATGAATGTACAAATGTGCTTTACACAATTGATGTATGTATGGATTGTGATAAGAGTTGTGTGAGCCCCTAATAAAGCAAAATAAAATAAAATCCCTAAATTCAGGTGGGATATATTCAAGGTCGTACTTTGGTTTCTCTAGATTTGTTTTAATTTTCTTCAGCTTCAATTTGAACCTGCACATGTGCAACTGACGATCTATTCCAATATTGGCCCCTGACCTTGTTTTTGGCTGATAATGTTGAGCTTTTCCATTGACTCTTTCCACAGATGTAGTCTATTTGATTCCTGTGTATTTCAATTAGTAACTTCTATGTGTATAGTCACTGTTATGCTGTTGAAAAGGATATTTGCAAGGTATGAGTCATTGCTTTTGTACAAATCTAGCATGTGATCTGCAGCATTATTTCTATCACTATGGTAATGCGATGGGTAGCTAACCATGGTCAGGAGTTCGACACCACCAGCCACTCCAAAGGAGAAAGATGGGGCATACTGAGCGCATGTTTGATCAATTTCAGATTGCAGAAGTTGGCTAAAAATCTTGAATTTCCTCATCTTTGGCATAAGTGGCATTTGAATAATAAGCATATTAACTGGTGTTCCTTATAAGTATAGGTATATCATCCTATGTGTTACGGTAGCCTAGAGAAACAAATTCATGGGCACTCAAGATCTTATATACAAGAACAATTGTATATTGAGAAAACATCCAGCCCAGTCCAGATCAATTCCATAAGTCCGATATTAGCCCATATGTCCGATACCAATCTAGAAAGTCCTCTTCAGACTCATGAAACACTATGCAATGACACTGAGTACAGGAAGATCACAGGCCAGTGGGTGGGAAATCTTGTGGATCCAGTGGCGTTCTAAGCATCTCAGGGCTGGCAGGGGTTCTCCACGTGGTTCCTTCAGCTCCGAAACTCTGACTACTTCAGGGTAGCTTCACGTGGCTTCTCCTCAGAAATGTCTCGCAGGAAGTGAGTCTGTGCCACACCTCCAATGAGTTATGCATCTCTTTGCCCTCCAATAAAACTGCGACATATTGACAGGCTAAATAATACCCGTTCACTCTTAAGTGCCTCTCAAATTGACAACAGATTATGTAACTACCACACACTGGCAGTGTCGTACTCAGAATAAATCTTTGAAATGTTCTTTTGTGACAATGAATGTGTTCCCATTCCTCTTCAATTTGTCATTCCCAACACAGCAGACCAGGTAATTTTCTGATTCAAATCAGTCAATACTAGGCCCTCTTGAAGGTGTCAAGTAAGCACTGAGTTGTAAACCACAAAGGTCAGTGGTTCAAACCTATCTGCTCCTCCACAAGAGAAAGATGAGGCTGGCTACTCCCATAAAGATTTATAGACTTGGTAACCCTGGATAGGGTTGCTATGACTCAAAAAGGATAATTAATCTTTATGCCCGAGGTATCGACCTTTGTGCATTCCCAATTTCCTAGATTTATACTTCATACATTCCACATTCTGAAAATTAATGGATTTTTGCAGTCATTTCTTCTCATTTTGTACCATACCACATGAGCAAATGACTGCATCCATGTCATGAATAAAGATGGCCTGAAAACTAAACATAATAAGCATTCTAACAAAGTTTTTTCTAGAATTACCTGTTATTTCTTACCTGATCAAAAAGAAGTCTAAGTTGTCTTTCAGATTCACCAACCCACTTGCTCAAACAGTCTGCTCCTTTTCGCATAAAAAAAGCCACTTTTTTGTCTCCTTGACTACATTCATTCGCTAATGCTCTGGCCACCAAGGTTTTACCTGTGCCAGGAGGGCCATAAAATAAACAGCCCCTGGGTAATGACAGAATCACAAACAGTAAATTAATGTTAGTACAATCAGTGATAATAACCAACATCAAATAATGTCCCTCCCATATAATTTTGTGCTCATGTATATTATAATTACTAACATTGATAAATCTTTTTGCAACATAGAGACAATAATTGCACTTTTCTGATTCCCCACAGGATATTCTCAAAGCACTAAGTTTGGTGGGCAAGATGTAGTTCAAAAAGGGCTCAGAGTAATTTAGCAATATCTAACAAAATTATGAGTCCTCTTTGCAATTTCAGAGGCCTGGTGGCCTAGTAGGTTATGCACTGAGATGCTAACCATAGAGCAGTTCAAACCCACCAGCAAAGTACCAACACTCTACTCTTATAGAGAGTTACAGTCTCAGAAACCCATAGGGACCATCCTACTCTGTTCGATAGGGTCACTATGAATCTGAACCAACTCATAAGCAGTAGGCTTTGGGCATGCATTATATATAGATATCCTCCCCCGAATGTAGATATCTATTTAAAAGAATATTCAAAAACACCTGATCTTCTAATGATAAAAACTGTAAAAATCTAAATGATAAATTATATATATCTATAAATAAAAGATAGTGAGAAACACTACACTAACACAATAAAACATTAATAAGGTGTCTTAAAGAATAATGCTTTATTGAGGGAGGTTATTTTGGATATATTACAGAATGAAAAACAAAACATTACATAATTGTATAAACTAATTTATATTAAAGTAAAATATTTGAATATTTTATTATTTAATAAAATTTAATTTTTAATATTTTAAGTATTTATTACTATTTTTAAATACATGAAAGAAATGTTTAACAACAACAAAATACCATGCAAAATAACACACAAAAACAAAACAACAACAACAACAAAAATACCATGCAAAACCTTTCATCCCTAAGTACCTTAGGTGGGATTTGAGGAGATATGTCATAATATATAGCACACATTCTATTTTAAAGTTTTCCCAAGGCTGTAACACCTGAATCACTTTTTAAAAGGTTAATAATAATTTTGGAATTCAAGTTATATCATATAAAAAAACATTGAATTGCAACTTTGATTTTTAAAATCCAAGATAGACTCACAGACCACCTTTTAAATCTGCTTCGAGAAAGTAGATGACTCTTTACTAATAGTTTCCATATTCTTAAACAGGGTTGAGTAGATTAGGATCAACTCTGAACAAAAAGTTCTTCCTCAATGAAAAGTCTATTTATCCATTTAAATTTAGACTGATATATATATCTTCAAAATAATCTACCCAACTTCATTTAAAATAATCACTCAATCTTTTGGGACAGTTCAGTAGCTACCAACTTAATGATTTATCAAGTTTATTAGCTTGTTTCAAAACACCTCATTATCACAAAGAAACACTTCAATGAATTTGTGCTTCTAAGACTCAATGGCATAGAGCAAATCTGATGTTATTAGAAATTCAATTTCAGAAAAATCCCTTTGGCCACACCCAGTTGTACATTCATTCACTAACTCACTGCCATTGAGTTCATTCCAACTCACAGCAACCCGGCAGGATGGGATAGAAGCACCCTAAGGGTTTCTGAGACTACATCTTTAGTAGAAAGCCTCATCTTTCTCCCACCGATCAGCTAATGGGTTTCAAACCACTGCACTTGTGATTAGCCGCCCACTGAATGACCCAGTATGCCACCAGGGCTTCTTAGTTGCACATTCAAGGCCTATATAAAGAAGCTCATCTTGTACTTGATTCATAAATCCTGAATGATAAATTTGAAGAATACACTTAGTTCTACCACCTGTAAACTTCAATTAATAAAATTGTATTCTTATTTCTCTCTGCTAAAGTCATCAATTAAATTCACACCAAATATTTAGATTTATCAAAATTTCTTAATAGGAATTTGAAAAGTTCTAAATAATTTTTAAAGCCACGTAAGTCATTACTTACCTTGGAGGCTGGATTTTAAACTTTTCAAAAATTTCTGGGTATAATAGTGGAAATACTACCATTTCTTTAAGTGCATGGATATGATGGCTCAATCCACCTATGCTATCAAACCGCACCTTGGAAAGAAGAGCAAAAGTTTATTACAGAAAAGGCTTATATGTGATATAGATTTTTTAACATTGAAGATTCAGAAATACTCGCATGGTTTCAACAGGACCTCCTACCTATTTAAATGCCATTCAAAAGACCATGCATTAGAGTCTATCATCGTCCCCAAGTGAGCAAAATTGTTTTGTAGGCGGGGACAGACTTCCAGTGGTTTGTGGCTCTGCAAAGCTCAGCTTTCCCCAACAAAATTATCTCCAATATACTCTAATAAACCTCTAGTTAGACAGAAATCAAATTTTTATCCTTGGCACTGTGGCAATATGCAAAGAAATTTACTCATCAACACTGATCTCTGTTTGTATATCTATTCTCGTCTTCTTACTTCTTATAAATGTTAATTTTTTTAAAAAATCAGAGAAACAATGACCTAATTGGAGAAGTAACAAAGATTACTACGACCACTCAAAATAGTTTAAATAGTTAAAAGACTACTTAAAGAAAAACTGTCTAGAAAGCTATAGTCAAAAAGGCAATGGTTCAAACCCAACAGCTGTTCTAGTGCTAACTTGAGCTCTTACTTTAAAAACTTCATTAAAAATGTGCTGAAAAACTAGACTTACTATACACGAGTATATACAGTATATATTTTTTATTTATTTAGGATTTGACTGAAACATAGGAACAATTGTGAGGAGGGCAAAAACTGGCCATTGTTCCATTCCACTGTATAAATAATCACTACGAGTCAAAACTGACTTGGTGACCCCTAACAACAACAGTCTAAGGCAGCGTTTCCCAGGTCACCTAAGATCATTGGAAAACACATAAATATTTCATAATATATAATTACATATTGTTTTGTGATTAATCACTATGCTTTAATTATGTTTAATCATGTTCAATTTGTAACGATGAAAATACATCCTGCATATCAGATATCACGATTCATAACAGCAGGAAAATTATAGTTATGAAATAGCAACGAAAATAATCTTCTGGTTGGGGGTCACCACAACATGAGGAACTGTATTAAAGGGTCGCAGTGTTAGGAAGGTGGAGAACCTGTGGTCTAAGGAGTCCTAATAGCACAGTAGTGAAGTGTTCAGTCAGCTGTTAATCAAAACTTCAGCGGTTCCACAGGAGGAAAATGTGACCCTCTGCTTCCAGAAAGATGACAGCAGTGGAAACCCTGTGGGGCCGTTCTATTCTGAGTCAGAATCAACTTGACAGTGAAGGTTTTGTTTTGCATGTTTTATTCCTAGATAATGTCCTATATACATTTGAGAAGAAAGATCTACTTGGTTTATTCATAGTGTTGATCAAGGCCTCCACACTTCCTAATTGATCTTCTGTCAAGATGTTCTATTTATTAATGAAAATGGGGTATTGAAATGTCCAACTACTATTGTAGAATAATTTTTCCCTTCAATTTTGTCAATGTTTGCTTCATGTACAAGGATTCTTCAAAAACTTTGTTAAAAAAATCAAATGGTAAAAGTAACTCAACTATCCATTGACAGTGAAAGGTACAAATTGAGGTATATACTTGCAGTGACCTATTCAGTTATAAAAAGCTCAGCACTGATACACATGCTACAGCATAGATAAACCTCAAAGACATGATGTTCATGGTCAAAAATGACATGAATCCTCTCATGTCATAGAGCCAGGATTTGAAATTCATAGAGATAGAAAGCAAATTGGAGGGAGGAAAATATAAAGTACAATTTTTTAACAAGTACCAAGTGTTTTTAGGAGGTGATGAAAGTTTTGAAACAACAGAGGTTGGCAAATGTGCACACGCATGATATCTAGAATTTCACCTCAATTAAGAATATAAAGCTTGTCTCTTTTTTCATACTACATACTTTCCCTGGGTACTAGTATCCAGTTTCCATTAATAACCGCAACCATCATTATATTGGTGACCCAAGTCTGAGTTTCTGGTCTAGATATGTCTCCTTAAGGCCATATCTAAACACAAGTTATTTCTACTTTATGTTTTTGTTTTATTAATAATTTTATTGGGACCTCTTACAGCTATTATCACAATCCATAATTCAATGAGATCAAGTATAGTTGTACAATTACTGCCACCATCAGTTTCAAAACATTTTCTTTCTTCTTGAATTCTGATATCATCACAGCTCCCTTTTCTCCCCTCCTGCCACCACCCTTATTTCTCTTTCGATGTACCACCTACACTTGAAAACATGTCCACAACTAATCTTCTCATCTCAATTCTTACCCTTCCTCTTCTATTTCCAACCTTAGAGAATAAGCTGCTGTCAATTCTAACTCAAGGAAACCCCGTGTATGTCAGAGGAAATGATGGTCCATTGAGCTGTCAATGGCTGACTTCAGAAGCAGATAGTCTCTTCTTCCAAGGTACTTCGAATCGAGGTGGGCGCAAGCCTCTAAACATTTGATCCGCAGCTGAGAACGTTAACCACTGGCACTTTAGGACAGGAACCATCTTGGCAATCCAGTTGGATCATCCACTCCTTAGTTTTGCTCTCTCCCTTACTTCTCAAAGTAAATGGATTCACCAAATTCTCTCAGGTTTGTTTCCTCAGTTGTTTGGAATCCATCTACTTCATTTCACCAATACCCTACTTTGGCCTATACCCGTTATTTGACATAAATTACAACGATATCCACAAGTCAGTCTACTTAATACCAGCCTTGCTTCTCCCATATCCATTAACAAACTACACCATGGTCAGAGTAACCTGGTCATGAAACTAAAGCAGTTTTAAGAAATAGCCTGTCGCTCATTACATCTTATGGCCTCCTTACTTTGGCTCACCATCTCAGTCCAACTTCCTATCATGCCAAACTCTCTATTGCAATAACCAAGAAATAAAGAGGGAACCGATTACATGGAACTGTGTGTGACCTCCTCCCTGGGGGACAGACAACCAAAAAGTGGATGAAGGGAGACGTCGGACAGGGCAAGATATGACAAAATACCCATTTATAAACTATCAAGGGCTCATGCGGGAGGGGGGAGCGGGGAGGGAGGGGAAAAATGAGGACCTAATGTCGGGGGTTTAAATGGAGAGAAAATGTTTTGAGAAACGATGTACAAATGCGCTTTACACAATTGATGTGTGTATGGATTGGGATAACAGTTGTATGAGCCCCTAATAAAATGTTAAAAAAGAAAAGAAAAAAAAAAATAACCAAGAAATGTAAAACAATAAAAACCTGACTAAAATTCACGTGATCAGTGCATCCTGGTGAAGTATGCTCAAATATCAAAACATTAATAATGAGCATATTTGAGGTTTGTACTTTTATCATGTGTAGCTTTCAGAACAACAAAAACAAACAAGCAAACAAAAAGCAACATCTAAATATTTTTCAAAACTTACTGATTTATCAATGTTCATTGGATCCACATCAGCTAAACTTGTGCCCACTTTCACTCGTTCTCGTAGAATGCCACTAGCTAGGTCTTCAGCTCTAAAGTTCATGGGTAAACACCTGAAAGTGATCAAAATCCAAATGAAAGCATTATAAGTTTCATATTTCAAAGTTAATATAAAGTTATATTTTTACACTTTCATTCTAATCTTCTCATAATGAAGAAAATAGTATCACAGAATTCCAATTGTAAACTTTCCACATCAGATTTTTTTCAACTGACTCAAAAAAGCCATCCATTAGAAAAAGCAAATAAGTTATCTACTTGCCCAAAGGGCCCAACCTACCCTAACTCAGAATATGTTTAACATATATAGTAGCCCAAACCATGGAACCATAAAATAGAAAGAGACCTACTATATTTATTAGAATATGTGGCATTTAAATAAACTTAAGTGTTATTATAATATTTCAATTTATCCTCACATAATACATGGATATGTCTACTAAAATTCTTTCCTCTTTTTTCTTTAAAAAAAAATACTCAGAGGGAGACAGTATGGGAATGGAGCATAACAGATCAGCAATCGGGGTAAAGCCAAGGACAGAGCCTCTGAGGAGCCCCAAGAATGGACTTCGGACCAGGAGGGGCAGCCTCTCAGGCCCAGGGGGGAGAGACCCATGGGGACCAGCAAACAGAACTGGACCTAACGAGGGTCTCTTTTCTTTTTTAATTTTCTTCCATCTTCTTCTCTTCCCTTTTTTTTCTTCAACCATAGGTTTGCTTATTGTTCGGACTAGGACACGGATGGGTTGTCTAGTTATATGGGTTGCACCATGGGAAGGAAACCCGAGGCGAAGGCAATGGGAGGAAGTAATAGAGGAGAAATTTCCAAAGTTTAAATCTCTTTCACAGTTACTACAGTGCAATACTCTAGTCTAAAATATTGGTATTGAATATCAATTTCAGCAAAACATTCAAATAGATAAGTATCTCATTTTTACAAATACTGTTATTTTCCCTACCATGGGGTGGCGGGAGAGAATACATTAACAATTTCACTAACCTATTTCTTGCTCTTGTCATGCTCTTAGATTTTCTTCTTTCAAAGCGCTCTTCATCAGAAGAAGTCGTGTCACTACTATGAATGGCATGCTTCTTTCTCCTATTTAAAGAGAGTAAAACCATTGAAGAGTGGAAGCCATTACATAGCAAATGGTTTTTTAAACTCCCTATCTTGTATCGATCAGAGCTTATCAGCTATAAAATGTTTTTGTGCTGTGGATGAGGCAGTAAAGCAAATAAAAACATCTATGCCTTCATATAATTAACATCTAATGAAGTATAAAGGTGACAAGTTCTACATAGGAAAACAAAGGGCTCGGGGAGGAGACGAGCGATGTAGCAACGATGAGAAATACAACTTTCCTCTAGTCCCTAAATTCTCCCCACCACCACCACCCCGCACTATTATGATCCCAATTCTACCTTACAAGTCTGGCTAGACCAGAGGGTGTACACTGGTACAGATAGGAATTGGAAACACAGGGAATCCAGGGTGGATGATACCTTCAGGACCAGTGGTATGAGTGGTGATACCGGGAGGGTGGAAGGAGAGTGGGTTGGAAAGGGGGAACCAATTACAAGAATCTACATGTGACCTCCTCCCTGAGGAACGGACAACAGAAAAGTGGGTGAAGGGAGACGTCGGACCAGGCAAGATATGACAAAATAAAAATTTATAAATTATCAAGGGTTCATGAGGGAGGAGGGAGTGGGGAGGGAGGGGAAAAAATGAGGACCTGATGCCAGGGGCTTAAGTGGAGAGGAAATGTTTTGAGAATGATGAGGGCAATGAATGCACAAATGTGCTTTACACAACTGATGTATGCATGGATTGTGATAAGAGTTGTATGAGCCCCTAATAAAAGAATTTTTTTTAAAAAGAAGAGCAGATACCAAGGGCTCCAATAGAAAGAAAATGTTTTGAAAATAATAATGGCAACAAATGTGCAGTTGATGTATGGATTGTTATAAGAGCTGTAAGAACCCCAATAAAATGATTTTTTTTTTAAGAAAAAGAAAAACAAAGGGAAAAGAATATAATTTTTCAGATAGTGTTAAGAGAAAGCAGTTAAATAAAAACAATATTATTTGCATCTAGTTTTAAGAAATATCTGTCATTGTTTATAAATAACCTTAGGGTCTTATTAGAAAATAAAGTTTTGGGTTTGTTTTTTTCTTTTACTGGACCCTTCTCAAAAGAATCAGATATCAGACATTTAAGAACTAAAGAAAAAATAACATTGGTTTGTATGTACCCTGTTTCCCCAAAAATAAGACAATGTCTTCTATTAATTTTTGCTCCCAAAGATGCGCTAGGCCCTATTTTCAGGGGATGTCTTGTTTTTCAATGAAGAAGAATACGGTACACATTTATTGTTTATTGTTTTATTAAAAGAGACCTCGCACTTCCTGTCTGCTCAGGCTGCGCTGCAGCCAACAGTGAGCTGAGTGGCAGTGCCCGCCACTACGGTCCAGAGTCCAAGTTACGGGAGCTTCCAGGGGCTTTATTTTCAGGGAGGTCTTATTTTCGGGGGTGATGACTTATATTTCAGCGAGAAGCAAAACTATAAGTAGGTCTTATTTTCGGGGGATGTCTTACTTTCAGGGAAACAGGGTAGATGAACCAGGGCTTTTGCTTACCATTTAAAACAATTCTCCCTTTTAAAAATTTTCTCTTTCAGAATATTTCAGGGGGGAAAACAAGCACAGAAATACTTTATAATCAAAACTACCATGGAATGAACACATCAAGTATCGGGATTTCTGATAAAGTCATTCCCACCAGAGAAATATTAATTGACAAATGCTAGATTATTAATCCCAGAAGCCTGGTGTTGCTGTCAGTCGCACATCAGACTGGTAATCACCTATCAGCTGCACCATGGGAAAAAGATAAATTGATTCAAAGGGTCATTTTTTAAATGGCCAGTATGGATATCAGAGACTCTCGAATGTACAGTAGCTAGAGCAAGTAGAAGAAACGATCAAGTAGAAGAGGCGGACAGAAAACTTCAACGGGGAATTCAAGAAGACAACCTAAAGTACTACCGTGAAATGTGCAAGACCAGTCATTAGAAAACCAAAGGGATGAACAGGCTCTTCCTAGTATAGCCTACTTTAAGGAACATCTGTCATTGTTTATAAGTAACTTCAGGGTCTTATTAGGAAAGAAAGTTGTTTTTTCTTTTCTTCTTTTCTCATCTCATCTTCCTCAAAAAAAAAAAAAAATCAAAGAAATTCTAGGCATTTATGAACTAAAAAAATTTCAAGCCTCAAATTGCAACATTATAAGATTCTACAGAAAAAATATTGAACAATGAAAGAAGCATCAAAAGAAGATGAAAAGACTACACAGAATCATTGTACCAAAAAGAATTAGTCAATGTACAACCATTTCACATGATCAAGAACTAAAAGCAAAGGAGGAAGAAATTCACAGAAGAAGTTCATATGGCATATGATCCTGAACTGAAAGCAAAAGAAGCTCAACGTGCACTGAACTCACTGGTCAAAAACAAGGCTCTAGGAATTAACACGATACTAAATGAAATGTTTCTACAAACTGTTGCAGTGCTGAGAAGAACCCAGTAGTCTATGCCAAGAAATGTGGAACAGCTACCTGACCAACTGACTGGAAGTGATCCGTATTTGCACCCATTCCAAAATGACCTCACAAAATGCAGAAATTTTCAAACAACATCAGTAATAGCACATGCAAGTAAAATTTTGCTGAAGATACTCCTAAATAAACCTAAATCAGTGAGAAAATATTTGCAGAAGAATGAAAATGAAGAAACAACCTCTCAAAATTTATGGTTTGTATCTAAAGCAGTGGTTAGAAGCAAAGTTATGCCAATAAATGCCTATTTTAAGAAAAAAATGTTTCAACTCAAAAGCATCAATTAACATAATAGAAAACAAGCCTTTAAGACAAGCGGCCACCTAGCTCGGAAACAACAAAGTCCACAGAGAAGAAAAGAAGCACACGAGCCTGTGTGAACACGAGGTGTTGCAGGGAACAGGCAGCAGACACCAAAGAACAAAAACCATCATTGTGTGACCACCTTCCAC